TGTGTGTGTGTAGGTGAATCTGAGTGCTGGTCACCGGTTCGATAAGGATGTGGAGCTGTTTCTGTATTATGAGAATTCCCATCAGCCCTCTGCTGTAGTCGAGGCAGCAGCATCTGCGGCTCAGTCAGGTACAACTCTGAACAATCCAGTGCAAATATCAGTGAAACATGGAAGATATGATGCTTTTGTTTGTACATGAATTCAGTTTGGTGTAAGTATAATGGGAGTTAAAGCCAGTAAACACGGTGCGGTTTTTACAGTCCTTTACAGTTGTCGCTTGTCACGCTCTGTGACATATGTGTTTTTCTATGTCATACTATACGTTACACATCGTAAGACCTTACCATCGTCAGATTAGTTGTTCAGGTAGTTTTGATTAGTCGTGCAGTCTAACACGGTTCATACAGAATTCAGGCCATTTACACCCTTTCACCGCAGTACTGTCTAACTCCATCCGGACAGCCGAGTCCCTCACAATCTTCAGGAAACAACAGAAAACTCCTCTCTTCTATGAGCATCGAATAAAAAAAAATCTGTCTTCTCTTTTTCTGTTCTCTTATTATCCTTTATACCTTCTTGTCCCAGATTTTACTATTTTGAACGATGACTGAAACCTTGACTGAAAGGGCACTTCTCGTGTTTATTGCCATCTTATGATAAATCTCGTTGTATTCCTCAACTGTTAGTCGCTTTGGATAAAAACATCTGCCAAATGAATAAATGTAAATGTTTCAGGGTCTCTGATGGGCGACCCGGCGCTCATGATCAGTCTGTACCCAGAGTTCCCTGCGGATGTGATGTCATCACTGGCGTCTCAGGGCGAGTTCATTTTTGTGGTCGACAGATCAGGCAGTATGGACTGCCAGATGCATCATGGGAACGACGCACAGATGCGCATCGAAAGCGCAAGAGTAAGATTTAGGATTTCAGATATGACGCATTAATTTGAGTGTATTGAGTCACGCGTGCTCATCTGCACATGTGTCTCTCCAGGACACGCTGCTGCTGCTGCTGAAGAGTTTGCCCATGGGATGCTACTTCAACATCTACGGATTCGGATCTCACTTTGAGTCCTTCTTCCCGTCAGTGACTAGATCAATCGCTTCATTAGATTATATCCTTATTCCTTGGATGGGATCGTGTAGGGCTGTTTGAAGCTGCACTGAAATTGCAATTTGGACCTTCAACCCCGTTGGACACCATTGAAGTCCACTTTATGGAGAAAAATCCTGGATTGTTTTCCTCAAAAACCTTAATTTCTTTTTGACTATAGAAAGAAAGACGTGAACATCTTTGACATGGGGGTGAGTACATTGTCAGGAATTTTTTATTCTGGAAGTGAGCTAATGCTTTAATCACGAAACACTCGTTCTGAACATCGGAGAGGTGTTTTTCTCATCCTGACACTGATTTTCTCTCAGCTGTTCGTCTTCACTGATGGAGAGGTGTGGAACATTAAGGAGGTGCTGGATCTGGTGAAGAGTCAGGTTTACTCTCACAGGTGTGTTCTCTCGTCTCAGTCCTCCTCATTTACTCCAGGGTAAGTTAATGTCAGAAGCTCAGCGCTGGAGCTGCTCTTGTGTCTTCAGGTGCTTCTCCTTCGGGATCGGTGAGGGTGCGAGTACGGCTCTCATCACAGGAATGGCCAGAGAAGGTTCTGGTCACGCTCAGTTCATCACAGGCACTGACCGCATGCAGCCCAAAGTAAGACCTGCTGTGGAAACAGACTGGATAGAGTCAGTGCAAGATGTTTATTTACGAGCCTCTCTTCTCCGTCAGGTGATGCAGTCGCTCAGGTTTGCTCTCCAGCCGGCCGTGGATAATATCTCTGTGGACTGGACCGTTCCTGAAGGCGTGACGGTGGACATGCTGTCCCCCCCCATCAATACTCTGTTCCAGGGTCAGAGGGCGCTCATCTACGCTCAGATTAAAGGACAGGTGAAGGCTTTGAATGGTTTTATTTAATGGCCGTCATTAATTTGTTTAAACCAAGGGCTGCAAGCAGACCGCAGGCCGAATCCAACATATCAGCTGTTTTTGAATGGCTTTGTGATATAAGAAAAAATGTATTTGTCCTAACCCAGATGTGATAAAAGTAGGGCCGACTATTCAAGATAAACCCAAGTTAAATGTCTATTGAAAAACAAGCAGTTTTCAAAGCATAATACAACATGTGGAAATGGCAGGCTAAGCGGCTTAGTCGACAAAAAATGTGTTCTGCCGTGCAAAGGCGAAAAGCCGTAACTTAGTTTTTGGTCAACCTCCTTTATCATGTGGATAAGTCTCTTGATTCAATCTTGTTGTTTTTGCGAGAAATTAATGGGCTATCTTAACAGTAACTTAGAAAAGCCCAGAAGAAACCAAGGCAGAACACCGTATATCACCAGATACCGCTCTTTGATTTTGTTTTGGAGCACTCAAATTGAGTTCCGCTGCTCTGCCTTTGTTTAGCCGTGCGTCAGTATGAAGTTACTGTGCTGGCCTGGAGTTATACAGTATTCTGCCTTTGTTTTACTGTTCATGAAAATTTGCTGCATTTAAATTATGGTGTAGCTTGTTATTTCATACATCTGTCACTGAAGCACTTCATTAGACAAACAAATTAGACGGCTCACAATCTACCAAACTCCATATAACAAAGCACTTTAAACAAGCAAATTTTTTTTTTTTTACATTTTTGATTATATATAAAATGCAGATTATTCACTCCGTGTCAGTCTGGGGCTGCCCACTTCTAGTTGCACGTGTATGGACTCGAATACCGTGACCGCGTAGCATGTAGTATGGTCACACATAAAATCAGTGGTAACAGTTCGCAATTAAATACAGATCCTAACTTTTCTTGTAATCCGATAAAATCCATGGCAATGAACGTCATCGGACATGTTTAATCCACAAACATTCTGAGCATTATTCCTACTTGCTGCCGTTCACATCAATCCACAAGTCGTCCTTTTAAGCTATTTTCATTCAATTCAACGTAAATGCAACTAGGCTACGTCTTGCATCCTTTTACGTTAGTAAACATTGCAAATAAATTGGTTGCAAAACGGTATCCACTCACATTTAACTTTTTGTCTGGTCGTTATGGTCAGAACAACAATTATTACAGTCGCATTACTATATGTTATAGCCTATGAGACAGCCCATGATCACAAGACTTTATACAGATGTTACTTTAGTGATTTGTAAATGGTGATCAGCAACGAAATATTGATAATGTGGAAGTTACTGCCTTTTGCCTTGGCTTGACTTCTTACTTTGCAGACAATACAAAGTCAGAGTACAGTAACTCCAAAACAGGGGTCAAAATCAAGTTTGAGCTCAAGATTTTTATGTAGATTATTTTCATTACTAAAACATAATTGCCAGATTTCCATTGTCTTACCTATAATTAATTTGACTGTAAAAAGTAATTTTTCTCTTATGGTTTTTGCCTTTGTAGGGCAGTATTAGTCTGTTAGTCACAAAAAAAGGTTGCTAACAGCTGGCCCTTGAGGTAATTACAGTATATCTGGCAGGAAATCTAAATGCTTGTCTATCATCAATTGAAACACGTACGCAATAGCAACTTTACACAGCCACAGTGTGGAAGCGGTTAGTGCACTACTGCATGGCGCGATCACTGACAATGCTTTCCGGATAACAGCGGAAACATATAGGAGTATTACAGATAAGTGTAATACATAATTTGGAACTGTGAAGGGTCTACTTCTATTTGTGCACACTCACAATATCAACAAATGTTGTGCTTTTTTTAAAACAAAGAAAACAATCAGGATGCATTTTCTGCCGAAAGCTTGAAATGTCTACTTTAAATCAAAACAAATTAAATCAAAAACAAAAACTGTCTGATTATGTAACCCATACGAAAGGTGCATTTCTCTCTGGTGAGTCAGCATCGTCCACTTCATCTTAGGAGCCGACATTGACGCAGAAAACACTAGTTAGAATTAAAATTTGTTTAATTAGCCATTAGTTAAGTGTATCTTTAATTAAATGAATATAAACATGCAATTAGTTGACTAATGGGTTAAAGGAATGACTATTAATCAACTAGAAAAATGTTTAGTTGTGGACAGCCCTAGATAAATGACATCTTTCCCATGTAAATCAGAGTTTTTACTATTGTTTTTGCGACTTGCAGCTGAAACAAGTAAATATAAACTGTATATCCGCACCCAATAATCGGTCCCTTCAGGATTTCACAATTCTGCGATTGCAGAACTCCACAATACATGGAGGAGCTTGCAGTTTTCTAAATTGCTGATTTCCTGCAAAAATGGATGAGCAGCATGACGTGAGCGAAGCAGATGCTGAATGAAAATGTAAATTCACTGTCTGACAGTAGGTGGCGCTTATTTAACAGCACTAATACAGCAGTTTCCAGTTTTACTGCTGTAAACACAGCAGACTGCACTACTTTCTGTTTCTGACACTCGTCACCGAAAAGAAAGGAAGTCAGACAGCTTTTACATGTTTTCAAGTCTGTTCATATTTTTGTATTTGCTATAGTGTTCATCAACAAAAAAACAAATAGTCCTACTTAAAGACTTTCTAGTTGCATTCTTTTGTACTTTAATATGCTTTGTTTAAATTTCTTTGTTATATTATAAAAATAATGACTTGTTATTACCCCTGTAAAGCCTGAAATAATTAAATAGTCAGACATTCTTTTTTTTTTTTTACCTTTAGACAAAACATAAAAGAGAACAGTTTACATGTGTATTCATGAGGTCATAAAGTATTAAAAATGTTAGAAGAATGTCTGTGGTATATTTTCACAGCAAAACAACAACAAAAATGCTACAAATATTGCAGCAAATTTGAGAAAAGCCACCACAAATTCAGTCATTTTTGGCTGGAAAAATCTGAAAAAAGTCCCTGAATGATCATCTGAAGCACTGATCATTACATGTTAAAAGGGTTTAATTTGAGTTTATGATTGTATGTGACTAATAGCCAAAATGAAAGCGTTATGGATATGAATTTGACCAAAGATAAAAAAAAATATATAAAGAGAACAAGAACAAAAACTCTCAAACTAGAGACGGGAGTGAATTGGAAGAGAGGCTCCGCCCACACATTCTTCTGATTGGCTGTGATTTGTGATTGATTTTTGTCACATCTGGTGCCATTAGACAAACTGTTTGCTTGTGTTGCATCACATTTAGTTTAGACCAGGGCTGTCTTGGAGGGCCGGTGTCCTGCAGAGTTTAGCTCCAACTTGCCTCAACACACCTGACTGGAAGTTTCTATGCCTAGTAAGAGCTTGATTAGCTGGTGCAGGTGTGTTTAATTAGGGTTGGAGCTAAACTCTGCAGGACACTGGCCCTCCAGGACCGAGTTCGGACAGCCCTGGTTTAGACACTATATGATACATGCAATCACAAATTTCATTGAAGTAGTTGAAGAGCCCTGTAAAATCCTTAATCATCAAATGTTATTTTCTCTTTCTTCCTCATTATAGAGTTCAGGAAAGAAGGAAGGAGCTGTAACTGTGAAATACAGGCTGAAAGATCAACCAGTGACTAACCAGCTTCAATTTACTCTTAAACCAACAGAAGACACAGGGTAACGTGCACACACACACACGCGCGCACAAACTTATACTCACACACGCGCGCGCAAACTTACATACGCACACATACACACACATGCGTGTACACATACTCACACACAGACATGCGTACACAGACACACATTACACTCTCACACACAGACACGCACATGCGTGAACTTACACTCGCACACATACACACACACACACACTCATTCGCACACACGCTCGTAAACTTATACTCACTCACTCACACACACACACGCGCACACAGACACACACGCGCACACGGACACGCACGCCCGTACACTCACACATGCTCGTAAACTTATACTCACACGCTCACACACATGCACACACATACACACACCCGTACACTTACACTCACTCACAGACACGCTCGTAACCTTACACACACACACACTCACTCACACAGGCGCGCGCACACACACACGCTCGTAAACTTATACTCACGCACACACACGCTCACACACATGCACACAGACACGCAAACATACGCACGCACACATACACACACGCGTACACTTACACTCACTCAGACACGCTCGTAAACTTATACTCACTCACTCACACACAGATACGCACACACGCTCGTAAACTTATACTCGCACACACACGCGCACACTTACACTCACACACACGCGCACACACACGCTCGTAAACTTATACTCACACACACATACACACACTCACTCACTCACTGACACAGACAGACATGCAAGCACACACACTCGTAAACTTATACTCACACACACATACACTCACTCACTCACTCACTCACTCACACAGACAGACATGCAAGCACACACACTCGTAAACTTATACTCACACACACATACACACACTCACTCACTCACTCACACAGACAGACACGCAAGCACACACACTCGTAAACTTATACTCACTTATACACAGACACGCACGCGCACACATACGCGCGCACACACACACACACGCACGTAAACTTATACTCGCACACATACGCACAGACACATTTTATATTAGGTTAATGATATATTCTATTCCCTTATCTTAACCTACTCACACAAATTACAGGAATTTTGTGATTTTCAAAAAACACTTTTTAGTATGTTTTTAAGCCATTTAGTTTACGGGGACACCTCATAAACCATGTTTATGCTGTAGAACCCATGTCATTATACACATTTGTGTCCTCATAAACTATATATCTCTCACTCTCACAAACATGATCACTCACACACTCACTATCATATTTGCACACTCACACATACATACAGGTTTCAACCGGTTCATTGGACAGAATCTGCTCATTGATGATTGGGACATTGGTCTTGAGCATCAGAGTGGTGGTGATTTTTTAAGTTTAAAGTGAGGAATGATATGTTTCTGTTTTTATGAAATTTAGTGGTGTAAAAAGTATGTTATTATGCTTTTGAACATGGCGTCCCAATTTTTTTTTTTTTACTATTGATTTTGCTGCTTAATTTGGCTTTAACAGGACAATTATAGATGACATGAATCATTATAAAGAAGAGTGGGATGAAATGACCCAAAACTCATGTTTATGTTCACGTTAGTGCTCACTAGCCGCTGGGCCGCGTCTCTGATACTGAAGACTGTGTTTACAGGTTTGTGTTTGTTGCAGACTGACGATCCACCGGCTGGCGGCCCGGTCTGTGATCCGCTCTCTGGAGCTGGAGGAACGAGCCGGAGGAGCAGACGCGGAGAACATCAGGAGAAGGATTGTGGAGCTCAGCGTTCAGGCAGGAGTGAGCAGCGCTCACACAGCATTCATCGGCGTTAATAAAGACCGCAAACAGACTGTGAAAGGGCCGCTGCTGCAGAGGAGAGTGCCAGTGCCAGGGAAGTTGTGTGTGTGTGTGTGTGTGTGCTTGTTTGTGTTTACTGATTTATTGTCCGTTTAGAGCAATCCTGATCCTGGAGAGCCACTGTCCTGCAGAGTTTAGTTCCAATCCTAATTACAATTTTTCTCGATTTCTAACACACTGTAACTGATTCATTTGGCCCAATTTTCCAAACCATTCATACAGTTCTCGAAACAAAGACACGTTTCTCAAAACATTTAGCACATTTCACCTGTTTGCACACACGTTCCAATTTGTTCAGTGTTTTCTGCAAAACTCTACACAAAAACGGCGGCATTTTGCACAGATTTAACCATGTTCTCATTCAGAAAACACACAATATAATTAACTCAAGCATCAAAAAATTAACTCAAGCAGCACACATTTATCCATGTATGAACATTCAGTAGCAAAACTGATGACAGCAATCAGAATCTCAGGATGATATGCACAAGAGCACAAGTGATTGTGTTTTGGAAAATGAGATTGCAGGGGGAAATAAAAACGAAGGGGATGAGGTCAAAGGTAATTTGTTCCTGATGAAATACAAAGCACTATAGTTGAGCATGTTCTTCTGCATGGACTGACCGTGAGGGAAGTTGCTCTACAGGATCATCTACAAGCTTTCAATACTACTTACACAATACAATATAATTACAGTACATAGTAGCAGTACTTCAGATGAGAGAACGTTCATTATTCTATGTACAGTAAATACTGTAGTACATGTTGTACAGTACACCCTCAAACTCATTACTGTTGAATTGATTTGTAGCCAAGTAGTCCTTACATGTACTGTATTTGTGCAGAACTGAGAGACGGCTGTCTAGGGGAGGCAGAGAAGTCTTTTGTCCGAAGAATAAAAAAACTGCTATAACAAATAAGGATACTACCAATAATGTAATGCAGTTTGGCAGAGGATGCTGAATGAATGTATTTATTTATTTATTTACAGTAACTGACAGTATATTTCCGATGTGTGTTTATATTCTGTTGTTTGGTTTTTGAACGTTTCTCTTCTAGTGCTTTTCATCTACTGTAAGATCTCTTTACAGTAGTGTAATGAAAGTGAACTTTTCTTACAGTTTATTGCTGAATTGTACTGTATCTGCACCGCTCTATTTATGTCGTATACTGTAACAGACATGGACTTGCAAGATGATTCCTGTTTCCCAAAAGCAGGTTTTAGTAACTGTTTTGAGTTGATCTCACTAGTGTTCTCTAGACAGTGAAGTATGTGTGTATTTGACAGGTTTGTGTGTCATCTGAGGCTAAAGTTTGAGTCTGACATAAGAGAACATGTTTTTGACTAAACTTTGATTTTGAGCTGGAAGTTTGAAGTTTGCACAAGTTGGTGTGTAGTTTTGAGTTTGTGTTTATAGTTGTGAGAAAATGGTGAATTGTTTCATGAATTGTGTGTTAGCAATCGAGAAGAACTGTAAACACATCTAGACCTGCTAAACAAGGTCTTCAGGACAACTAGAAACTTCCAGGAAAGTGAGTTGGAGCAGGTCAGAACTAAACTCTGCAGGACATTGGCACTCCAGGATGAGGATTGGACAAAGCTGGATCACAAATATGATTTCATAAACAGTTTTCCTGTCACATAGTAGTTAGACATACATACATAATTTGGTGTACTCGCATAATCAACATGTGAAATTCAATTCTTTATTAGGTATGTTTCGGATTTCTGCGACGCAAAGTTACTGTATGGCAATGAGTGGTAAGAAATAACCTACGATATTCTTTGTTTTCATGGTTCAGTCCATCTCAAGCAGCCCAGTGGAGGATGTTTTGACTATTTTTGATTTTCCAAATTTGTTTGTTGAGTGATTACCTCTATGTACTGTTATTGAAGAATAGTTATGTTTTAACTGTTTTAGTTAAGCAGATTTTTACATAACTCAATATCACAGCTCAGGATATTCGTAGCTCCTTGGAACAAAACTGATCTTTAGAGCCTATTATTAAATTACAGCACATTAAATCAGATATTGAGGTTTAGATGTGAGCCATGACACAAAGATGGCTGCTGTGGTTAAACCAAGTAAAATAAAAACAAATGTGTGGTTTTTCAATACCAACACATGGAGTTAATCACTCCAAAAATTAAGAATGGTCAATCAACCAATTTTACAATTTTTAGGTGACATGAGATCGATTTGAGCCATGTGTTTTTGTTAAAAGCTGGTTTGGTGTGACTGTTTTTTGTTTGTGATTGTCAGATATGTATTTTTATTCTTATTCAGTATCTGATTGTCTCTGTTTTCTTAGCAAATACAGCTCCTAAATTGAGAAGTGCTATAAAGTGTAAGAGAGAAAAACGTTCTGCGGGTATTTCACTGAAATTTAGTATTATTTATTTTCTTATTAGATTTTCCCATCTACTTGTCTTTTATTTTGTCACTCATTGAGTGATAGTTTTTAGCATATGCCCTTAACAGCCCTGGGTTTTGTCTGTTTTCTCAGCCCCGATGGTTCCCAAAATGGCATTTCGTTCAGCAATGCGTAAGAGAAATGCACAGACAGCAGCACTTCACCGAACATGTCTTATTTTTATTTATTTTTTTCCATCTAATTGTGTTTTATTTTGTCACTCATTGAATGATTGTTTTTAGCATATGCCCTTAACAGCCCTGGGTTTTCTCTCTGTTTTCTCGGCAATGGCTCCCCAAATGGCATTTGATTCTCCAATGCATAAGAAAAATATAAACCACTTCACTGAGCTTTTCTTGTTGAATGTGTATATCAATCTAATAGCCTTTTTCTGTATGTCACTCTTTGAACGATTATTTTTTAGCATGTTCCCTCGAGTCGTCCAACATGATGATGATTGAATGTGATGCCGCGTCATATGAGGGTAAATCAAACAAAACAGCCTAAATCAGACAGGATTCATTTTATATGGAGACATCATATTATGTATTAGTTACTGAGCTTCTTTTGGATTTGAATCCCTTCAGTCATAGCACTTTATAGAAACACTGCATGTAGATGTACATCAGGTTAGAAATGGAAAGGAACAATTGTTTTCTTCACTTAATTCAAATGACAGGAGATTAAAAAGAGAAAAGTACATTATAACGTGCAGTTGTCATAAAGTAGCCTGTATTGATCATCATGCTTTTTATCATAGAAATTTCATCAGTCAGGGTTGGTTATATTGGGTTAGAATTGGGTTTTCTTTTTCTGAAGTGTGTCTTGCACAAATTAAATATTTTATTTTAAAATCAAACTGTAATTGATGACGTCACCGCATTTGGACGATGATGTCATCACCGCTGGTCTGCCTGCTTCAGGTGCTGACGTTTAAGAACATTGAAAAAGAGACATTACTGGCATCTGTTTATAGATGTCCGTCACAAAAACAAAATCCTGTCTGAATAAGGCTTAAGGCAGTTATGCTGCTTTTATTTCATTTGATTGTTCTGCTGTAATCCATAAACATATCAGAAACAATGCTGCTATGGGTATCCAGATGACTCCTATCTAAACTATCTGTCTATTTCAGAAGAAGCTGAGCCCCAGAAGGACCCTTTGCTCCAGCTGGTCTCTCTTCAGAAGGCCTCGGGATGCTGGGAGCTCAACGCCTCATTGGCTGCTGTGTTTGGGAAGACTGAGGACGAGGTGACCAATCGGAAAGCAGCACAGGTGGGAGATGCAATGTCATATCCTCAGACAGGTTGATGATTGGTTCAGTGCGTGTGTTGAGGTGTGTTTGTGTTTCAGGTGGATGGGTCAGTGTGGGCCACCGTCCTCGCTCTCATCTGGTTATATGCGTTTAAATCAGATCAGCAGGATGAGTGGCAGTTTGTGGCCATGAAGGCGGCGTCATGGATCCGCTCTCAGAAACGTGAGACAATATTCACCACCACATGTTCTGTGAGTTAGTGCTTTCCATGTTCTTTTACAGTGATGATTTGAGTTTGCAGGTCTGTGTGTTTCAGCGGACGGCCTGTCTCAGTGTGTGTGTGATGGGAACGTTCTGTTGGGATGTCAGGTGACTGAAGACATGCTGGGAATCTGAAGACTGCAAATCCTGTGCTTATAGAAGACCAAATATCTCCCCTTAGCATGTTTTTTTTTTTTTAGATTTTAAAGATTTTAAAAGAATAAACCTTTTGTATCAGTGGCAGTGGTATTTTTACTATATGTAAGTTTCAGGACCTGTCCTAAAATTCATGATGTTCTTCTAAATATGATTTTGGAAATATATCTTGCAGTACTTGGCGTTCTGAATTCACTATCATGATTTGTGACGGAGAATCAATTATTTCAGTATGTGTGTTTTAGTGAGTGGATTGTGTCGGTGTGGAAATATCAATACTGTTTTATCAGAAAGTTTTTGTTCACTAGCCATAATTACCTGATTTGTAGAATTACATTTTAATGCATTACAATTAAGAATTACATGAATCAGAATGGAGAAATGTGCAATTATAAACTGCCAAGAATGATAATTATAATGTCTATAAATACAGATAAATGTCTCCAGAACACACTGATTAAATGTGACTTGTGACCTTGGATACATTTTGTGCGTTACTTCACCTGTTTGTCTGCATAACAGAAAAGGATAAGCAGTCTGCAGTGGAAAATGTCTATATATGTGAGGGATATTAACAGTGCTGTACAGATAAGATCAGATTAATTAAATCCGAGTCAAATCACACTCTCATGCCTAAAATATATCCTCCCTCCACCCAGGTCTACTTGATACCTTCGATATGTGAATTATATGAATCGTGTGAAAGCATGACTGTAGATTTGCTGGGAGAGTCCGCAGTTCATCATCTCCCTCCCGGGGTGGTGCCGCTCTTCTCTCTAGAAATATGGCACATAGTCTTAGAGTTTGTACTTGACTAACTGGGGCCCAGGTCAGGAAGCAGACAGACTGGCTAAACCGACCGTCTGCTAGCCGCTTCATGTCACAGAAATCAGTTAATTCTCAGCACATAGAGACTCTTTCCCCTAGATAGCACACTATAGAGACTGTGTCTGTTCCCCGACCTAGAAAATACAAAAAACGTCCAAACCAATTTAAGAGTAACAATTTAATTGATGTTCAACAAATAAAACAGATGCAATACGGATAAACAAATGATAAAGCTTGGCTTAGTGAATATCAGGTCCCTTTCTACGAAAGCACTTTTTGTAAATGATATGATTTCCTGGTTAAGGGAAATAACTTTCTTACTGTACAATACTAATGTACTAGCATGTAGCAGAAATATGCATGATTAGGGACTATGATTATGAGCAAACAATGAACAACCTCAGGTGTGATACAAGTAAGACTTTATTATCTACATAAACAATTAAACTAGTCTAACATATACCTACACATACACACACACACACACACACGCATACAGTTGGTATAAGAACAGGATTAAAGCTTAGGCAGTAAAGAGAAAAGAAATAAAGCATGAAGCTTTAATAAGACTAAGTTTGATACTTGCACGTCTTGTCTGTCTGACAGAGAGTCCAGATGCAATCTGAAGTCTCAAGTTGATCTTTGCTGAAGTTGGTTGATGGAAAAGAACCAGTTTGAGTCAGATGATCTTGGTGAATGGAAAGTCAAGGCCGAAGCCTGGCGCGAACTTAGGGTGTCCTTAGGAGCGTTTTTGCTCACATCCTCATCTTCTCAGAATCTTAACAGAACCGCAGACTGGAGGCGGGTCACTGATGTGAGGCCATTAAGGTCTGAGAAGATTCATGCCTCTCAAGATGGGCTTGTCCAATGAGAAATGCTGAAATCCCAAGCGGGAGGTTGCAATTACTGGAGGGTTTTACGACCCTTTGTGTGAGGGCATGGTAATTTGCAAATGTAATTTGCTTGGGTGTTGATGCACAAACTAGTAAAGATTCTTAGAACACTAATATGTTGCATAGGTATCAGCATGTAATATGCACTCCCAATTAGATCATCCGAAGATTAATTCATAGAGACCAAACATGGTAGGATTACATAAAGGTAAGATGACATGAACAAGTGGTTCTATCATAAGCCTGCATAAAACAGTATACAATATAAAAGACAATATACAAGGACAGTAACAACATACACAATGAGCTGAAGGATATGCGTGTTCATTCAAAGAAAGGTTTTCCTATGAATTAATTAGAGAACAGTCCATTTCTCTTGGGAATATGTGTCTGTCTTATGAGGAAAATGAGTGAGTTTCTCTATCCGCATTCCTTTGGGCAATAAAACCAGTGATATCAGCATTGGTTGCCATGGAATCAGAGGCCTGTTCGTTCGCAGACATCCTGGCACCCAGCATGTTTATTGGGTGAGGGGTCTGTGATTATTTGTTAATCTAATGAATAATTGATTTGTTAAATCACATGAAAAATGGTGTGTCTGATTGGTCCAGACGCTACAATGTTGTGGTCAATAGTGTCAAACGCCGCACTAAGATCCAGCAGCACTAATAGAGAGATACAACCTCGATCAGATGATAAGAGCAGGTCGTTTGTAACTCTAATGAGAGCAGTCTCAGTACTATGATATGGTCTAAATCCTGACTGGAAATCCTCACAGATACCATTTTTCTCTAAGAAGGAATATAATTGTGATGATAATACCTTTTCTGGTATCTTGGACAGAAAAGGGAGATTCGAGATCGGTCTGTAATTAACTAGTTCTTTGGGGTCAAGTTGTGGTTTTTTGATGAGAGGCTTAATAACAGCCAGTTTGAAGGTTTTGGGGACATGTCCTAATGACAATGATGAATTAATAATAGTCAGAAGAGGATCTATGACTTCTGGAAGCACCTCTTTTAGGATGGAATGGAATAGGGTCTAACATACATGTTGTTGGTTTAGATGATTTAACAAATTTATACAATTCTTCTTCTCCTATAGTAGAGAATGAATGGAATTGTTCCTCAGAGGATCTATAGCAAGCTATCTGATGCGATACTGTAGCTGACGGCTGCATGGTTACAATTTTATCTCTAGTAGTATCGATCTTAGAAGTAAAGTAGTTCATAAAGTCATTACTGCTGTGCTGTTGGGAAATGTCAACACTTGTTGATGCTTTATTTTTTGTTAATTTAGCCTCTGTATTTAATAAATACCTGGGGTTATGTTTGTTTTCTTCTAAAAAAAGACGAAAAGTAATCAGATCTAGCAGTTTTCAATGCTTTTCTGTAGGATAGGTTACTTTCCCACCAAGCAATACGAAATACCTCTAGTTTTGTTTTCCTCCAGCTGCGCTCCATTTTCCGGGCTGCTCTCTTTAGGGTGCGAGTGTGCTCATTATACCACGGTGTCAGACTGTTTTCCGTAATCTTCCTTATGATTAATTATTCATATTTCCCCTTTGAGCTGATTCGCTACAACATTCTTTTGAATAGACTAGAAAACACTGTTGGCATTAATTAGCATGGTTCAAATCGTACTTATCTGACCGCCATCAATTTGTAGCAGTGAATGAAGAGGTATCATATCGATCACAAGTGCAATATGGAGTACCTCAAGGCTCAGTACTAGGGCCGTTACTCTTCACGCTTTACATGTTACCCTTGGGAGATATCATCAGGAAACACTGTGTTAGCTTTCACTGTTATGCTGATGATACTCAGCTCTATATTTCATCGCGGCCTGGCGAAAACATACCAATTTGAAAAACGAACGGAATGCATAGTCGATATAAAAAACTGGATGACGAGTAATTTCTTGCTGCCAAATTCTGAAAAATCAGAGGTGTTAATTACAGGACTTAAAAGCTCTGCATGTAATAACCTAGAACACTGTCTAAGACTTGATGGCTGCTCTGTCAATTCTTCGTCATCAGTTAGGAACCTAGGTTCCTACAGAAACCAAAAGAGTATGTATAATGTTAGTTGGTTAACTTCATTTATCAAATAGATACAGTCAAACCAAAATTTATTCAGACACCTTCAACATTTCTCACATTATCACAGTTTATTCATTATAGTTTAGAAAATGGTAATAAAATATGACAAGAACTCAGAGTTAAACTGTGTCAGAATGACATGCACTCTGAGCTGTAAGGTCTTATATAGACAGGTGTGTGGCTTTCCTAATCAAGTCCAATCAGTATAATCAAACACAGCTGGACTCAAATGAAGGTGTAGAACCATCTCAAGGATGATCAGAAGAAATGGACAGCACCTGAGTTAAATATATGAGTGTCACAGCAAAGGGTCTGAATACTTAGGACCATGTGATATTTCAGTTTTTCTTTTTTAATAAATCTGCAAAAATGTCAACAATTCTGTGTTTTTCTGTCAATATGGGGTGCTGTGTGTACATTAATGAGGAAAAAAAATTAACTTAAATGATTTTAGCAAATGGCTGCAATATAACAAAGGGTGAAAAATTTAAGGGGGTCTGAATACTTTCCGTACCCACTGTATATATATATATATACACACACATTTCATTGGGTACATTACTGGAATATCAGAGGTTAAAATGATCAACAAAGACCTAAATATATTCAACTGCTGTTTATTTTCCAATATAATAATCAAACCCGAAAATAAAAACTGAAATGTTTGTATATAACTCAATAGTTTTCATAAAAACTTGTCTTTGTAGAAGATTACAAGACAAACAATTAATTTTTCACCACAAGACTAGCAGTGTGCGCTAACAGAGTAAATAGAGTTAAACAGAACCTGTGGACAGCTATATTTTTAAGTCAGATTATATTAATGCTTTATTATTAGACAGCCCTAAACCCTACAGAAAACATTTCTTCACACACGAGTTGCAGTCTGACATTTTTCTGGCCCTTTTGATGACTGGATATAATCGGCCCGATCATCAGGTTTTAAACAGTCGGCCGATAGTGCAGATAATCGGTGCATCCCTTTTTTTTCTTTTTTTTTGCTCATTGTTTGTAATTAATGTTTATTGTGGTTGTAGATAATACTTAAGACTTGTAGATATACTTTAAGTTCTCTCTCTCTTTTTGTCCTTCAGGAATTTTTGGAAAAGGCCCTGGAACCCAGAGTTACACAAACATCAGCATAAATATTTGTTGTCTGTGGGTAATATTTTAGTATTTTCACTCAGTACAGGATTGCACTAGTAAAATATTATCTGCTTGCACATTTTACATTGAATATTATTACAGTATTTCAGTACTGATGTTTTGTGATTATAAACAAGTGGATGTAGATGCATACCTGCTTTACAAATAAAAACTATTACTTTTTTTCCAGTAATGTGGAAATGTTTATGTAGCTGGAAAGTTTCCTTTAGACATGTTATACAAAAAGACTATAGTCATTATTTTAGATCCTGTTCCAGTAATATAAGAAAATAGAAATATACAAATACTTGAAGTGTTTTCTAGTTTATACTAATATGAAAGCATTTAAGTGTCAAACATGCTTTTACACATTAAAAAAAGTAATTTATTTGTTTCCAAAGCAGATGATGACATATGACCAAACTAAATTATCCAAAAAGTACACAGGTAAAGAAAATGTAATACTCTAGTAATTGACATTTCACTGCTTAATGCATTGGCTAGGTTTTAGAAATC